AAGTGTGGACGCTTTTTGGATCTCTCCTACGACGGAAGATGGGCAACCATACGTGAGGCTAGAGCTTGCCGCAAATGTCTGGATGTGGATGTGAATCAAAGAAATGCGGTGTGAACGGGTGCACCTTCAAACACCTTCCCTTGCTGCACAAGGAGCTGGTTCCAAGCGCGAGGAGCAATCGTGTAATACTCATCAATCTGGATCCAGTGCCATCTTGTTCCGTTATGTTCCTGTAGTACTGTGTGGCAGTGGAATCGTGGTGCACTGCTATGCCTTCCTGGATGATGGATCTTCGGTGACGCTCATGGATGAAAAGCTAGCTGACGAGTTGAAACTCAGTGGGGAGCGCCGACCGTTATGTTTGAAGTGAACCGGAGGTACACATCGATCGGAGGATGACTCACGGAGCGTTAGTCTCGACATCTCTGGATTGAAAGGGAATCGATTCCACCTCAGAGATGTTCGAACAGTGAAGGAACTTCAGCTTCCGAGTCAGACGCTCGAGTTGGAGCAACTTCAAAACGAAAACTACTATTTGTAGGGCCTTCCTATACAATCGTATCAGAACGTTCAGCCACGTATTCTGATCGGAGCGAAATTTAGCTCAATTAAACGTACTTTCGAACTTTTCAGTCTCGGAGCACTTAATTTTACTTGACATGTTTGTTTACGTCTCATCCTTTATGTTAAAGACGGATTCCGTCACGTGTATGATTAGGTATGCCTAAGTGTGTAGTCAATTCTTGAAACTGATCCAAGAGCTCCGTTTTTTTTTGAAGCCACTCATAGACATCTTATCAGAATGATAAGGACGAGTTGTGCTCGGAATATGAACTATGGAGACTACGGGATGACCAACCAGTAGATCCTAGAGCTCCGCAGTTTTTTCGAAAACGCTCATAGACATCTTATCAGAATGAATTCGTAGTCGTGTTTGGAATATGGACTCTGGAGACTATGGGATGGTCCACCGATAGATCCGGAATATCCTTAAAATTGGTCAGTTCATGAGACTGATCCTAGAGCTCCCGAAAATGTTCTAAAGTTCTAGAAACTGCCATGAAGTTATTTTTTCCTTGATTTGTTTTACGCCGATCTTGTTTTCCGTACTGAGTACCAATTCTACTGACGCCAGGAAGGCAGCTCCTACACCTGGACCCTACCTATTCCGAAGGAAGGCGTGATCAGAGATTTTATGCCTCAGAAAATCCCGGCGGTGCCGAGTGGGATTGAACCCAGGCCCACCCTAAACAATCAACCTTTGTACCATACCAAATGAGTTAATGTTCTCTGTACAACTGTCCTTCTCCATCTATGACACATTCTACCAGAATGTATCCACGATTTTGCCTGATTTTTTGACAGGTTTTGTACTGTAACTGAAAAATACAAAGGAGACATCCTCAGTGAGTAATGTGTATCCTGGATGTTCTATGGGGAGTGGGAAGATTGATGACTTCTGCCAGTATCGGTGAGTAATTTGCCATGAAAAATCACTATTTTCCATGCAAAATGCCCAAACATTGAAATTTCACGACCAGATTTCGTTAGTCTTCCCAAATTGATTTCGTACGAAAGTCCATCTTTGATGTGGACGTGAAGCAAATTGTACAGGTACGCTCTTTTATAACCTCGTCATCGAGTCGTGTCTTCCTCTGTTCTCTCGATAGCCATAGCAAGCAAGCACGCAATTGGTTGATTGCGACCAAAAAGATTGATACATTTTCAATTCTTTTCTAATGAGCGTTATACCAAACAAATCCTACATCATATCTGAATCAGATAGTGTGAATAGAATTGAAATCCATCCATAAATGGCCAAGTTATAAGCGTTTAAAACCTGACACTATTTCGTTACACAATTTTTTTGATTTTCACCCCAGTATACTGCCTATAAAAGCATTACAGTCCCATATGGGTTTTAATCAGAAACGAGTTATCCATTAAAATCGATGGAATACTACCTGTACTTGACACTGAGCACTAAAAGTCAAAATTTGATGAAAAATACCTAAACTTGGTTGTCGCATCTAAAAGATTCTACGAATAAATAAATGTTTATTTTTATCATTATTAATTTATTTGATAAGGCTCAACCGAATCAAGTTTACAGAGCCGAGGATTCTTGTTCACTATACAATACATCTTAAAGCTATAGTCAAAAGGTACAACACAATAAACATTTTATCTTCCGCTATCCAATAAGCCTTCTCTACAAGAACGGGAGCCACTTCCAGTGGTTTACTAGTATGGCAGATTCGCCAACGAGGGTCAGAGCGCTTCTATTGTAGCAATGGACGCAAAACGTGGTCAGCACTCACACACTCATCACGAAACGGTTGCTTTGCAAAGTCGACGACGCATCGACTGAAAAGACTGCTGATGAAGAACAATGAGGAGGACCACACAATGGTTGCTGCCGAGTAAACAGACGATCGCGTGACACACATTGAGAGTGGTCTGCTTCTGTCGACAGCCGAGTGAACACTGAATAAATAAATGTTCAATAGCGTTTTTATCGGCTTGCTGTTTTTCCAGATGTGACTGATATGCTTTTATGGGCAGTATAGTCCACCAAGACGTAGTCCTGCGTCAAAAACTGGGCATCCCTAAAAGAAAAGCCTTCCACCAACACTCCACGAAGCACAAAGAATGTTAGTGAGTTGGTGAATTAAAAGCAAAATCACATGACAAGATAAACGACCGGGAAGAGGGAGGAGGCGAAGTAGCCGACGTCAATCACTCGGAAAAACAACAAACACCGATAGGAATCTACTTAGTCGAAAGAAATGACACTGTGTAGTACACGGTAAGAAAAAAGTACCCAACGGAAAGTTCACTTTTACCTACTATTGACTAGTTTGTCTCCTTTTCTCCTTCTAATGTTGTCAAAAACGGAGTAGCAAAACCACCCAACAGGGGTAGTAAAGTGTGGGAACCCAACGTTGAGTATAATCATATTTACCTACTGTTGGGTACAACTAACTTACTTTTGGTTAAAAAGCCAGTGGAAAATTCCATACGAACTGCAGTCAAGTAAATGAAAATTACTTTGACCCGCTTTACCTACTTTTGGGTTCCTGCACTATAGTGCCTAGATGAGTGAAAAGAACTTAATTTTGGGTACTTTTTTCTAACCGTGTAGGAGAAGAAAGATATGCCATAAATGCTTAATGACCGGGAATTGATTTAAGCCGGGCGATAATGCTTTGGCTATTTTCTCTATCCCGGTTCTGTTGTTTTTTTCCGCTCGATGTGAGCCAGAATAACACTACTGAACAGTGTCAGTGTTCTGCTTTCTTAATCTCAATAAAAGATTGTTTGTGTTGGGCGTCGCTAGTACAGTAATGCCGTTGCGGGTTGCTGGGATAATGGCAATAAAAATGACACATTCTTGCCCACACTACTTTTGTCCGATGACGACTGCTCGAAACGGGTCTAGTAGTCATTGCCCGGAAAATGGCTGTTCTTGTGCTTTAGCCTAATCCCAAACATGGTTTGACATTCGCAGTATAATTTTGTTTTAATCTGTGGTGAAAAGTCACGCGATAGAAGTCACTTACTTCACACCATTCGCAGTCGCCATTAGCGCTTTTTCACTTTAAAGCACCATCCACATTCAATCACGGACATTCAAATCCAACCATCCTGACCGGCTTCAGGCGAAGCCAATTCAATGATTTGCTCTTTTTTTTCCTACACGACGAATGAGAACGACCCAAATTTGAGTTTAGTTCACTTAAAAATAAAGGAAAATTGACGAAAATTTACCCCATGTGGCAAATTTAATCACCGCTGAGTTCCTGCGCTTTATGTGATTTATGAGCTAACTAAACTCAAATTTGGGTCGTTCTCATGCGCCGTGTACATGAAGCTAATATTGCTTTTCCATCATCGATTCCCTTTGTGTGTATGTGTGTGTGTGCATATACGGGATGATGACGAATCCTCCAAAGCGCCTTCCGCCTCATCCCCTTGCCAGTGAATAGATTGAGGATTATTAATAGTCAGCAACATTTTGAAATAAAAGGTGCTGGTGTATGAAAACCTCGGCAACACTATATGAAACTAGACGGACGCAGGAAATTGATTAAAAAATTAATTACTCCTCCTTCTGAATGCGAGAGAGAGATCGAAGTACACAAAGTGCCGGTATAGTCAGCTTTGGGCAGCGAAGTCCTTCGATTTGTCAGCTGCTGGAGTAGAAATGTGGGTCGCGTATCAAACCAGTGGGAACGGTGAGTCAACTTGTGAACCGCTTTAAGAATGGAGAGTTTTAGATTTTACACGAAACCTATTCCAGAGAAGCCAACTAACTTGCCTGTTCAATATTTTTTTTCCAATCTTCAGTACTGCCTACTTCGTCCTTCCTTGGTGGTTAACTGTGGAGGTAAGACTTGCCCGTCAGGTGGAGCCTCCACATCTGTACTTTTTTTTCTACATCAAAATCCACCACGTTTCTCGCCGTTCTCCGTCAATATTCAATGGAAATGGGAATCCTCCTAAGCTTCGGCAGATTGGCTTTCTCTGTTGGGAAAGCGGGAAAGGCTGAGCTTGTTCGTAAACAGATATAATTACTACCTTCTCCATTCAACTGTTCGATTATTGCGACGACGACGACGACGACGACGATGGAGGATTGGATGATGAATCGCTACTCCGCACGCGGCCTCTGTGGTTGTGGAGAATTGTTGCGGTTATTGTTCCCGGATAATAATCTCCTCCCCATCCTCCTCGTCGGCTTTTATGTGGCTTCCTGCGGCGTTTATGATCATGCTACTAGTTTCTGAAGAAGATAACGATTCATTAGAGGCCTTTGGTACACTCGCCCGAGCCAAGCAGAAAGGATGAATGGCTGAGTAAATAAGAATGGGATTGGTATGATTTATTCCCCATGATTACCCGGTGGAGTTGATTCGATTCGACTTCGGAAATGAATTGATTGATGGATGTCATTCGAGCCACGACTTACAACAGCTCTGTTTTCTATTTCTTTGCAGATGATCACCAGCCTCTAGTGGTTGGCCGTCGCAGTTGTCTACTGAGAAGCCGAATCGTCGGCAACAGCAATCTGCGAAGCAGTTCAACATTCCACCGCCCGTTGCCGCCGAGCAACTTCCGGCATCAAACAACTAGCTGTAGTCTTCGTCGTCGTCACCAGCAGCTGTCGCCGCCGAGTAGTCGAGATGAATGCGAGCGAGTGCAACAGTATGATTGCCTCGGTCGAGTGGTCCGATCCGAAGAAGATCCTGCTGCTGGCCATACTCATCTTCATCGACGTGCTGGTCATCGTCGGCAATACGCTCGTGGTGGCCGCCGTCACCAGCTCGCATAAGCTTAGGAGTGTTACCAATTTTTTCATCGTTAGTCTAGCCGTTGCCGATTTGTTAGTTGGATTAGCTGTATTGCCGTTTTCGGCCACCTGGGAGGTGTTTAAGGTAGGTGGATGGTTGTTTTGTGTGTCCTTGGAATGCAAATCCCAAACCGGGTCAAAGGGAGCGTCATGACATCTGTATCTCAACCCTAAGGTGCTCGAAAAATCTATGGAAAATCTTTTGCACTCAATTCCATGCACTTGCATCATGCTTCATCTTTTAGCAGGACATCTTAAAAATTATTTCAGGACAGCAGAACAATGGTAGTATGTACTCGAGTTGGTGATGGGTCATTAGGCCGAATGTCATTAGGCCAAATTCCTGGTCAGGTTTTCATTTTTTTAAATTTGATTTAATGACCCGTTCTGCCTAATGCCAAGTATTGTTTTGCGCGGCAGAACAGCAAGCGGAACAGCTATTTATGTTTTAAATTTATCGTTTCTATTAGGCGTAATTGAGAGTTTAGTAACTTTCTTAAAGTTATTCGGAGGCGTTTGGAGATTCTCCATGAAATGTTGGTCAACTTTTTAGTGAGATGCATAAGTTTGTCTTTGCAGTAACCCGTAAATTCCTCAAAACGTTCCGAGAACTTGCGGAAAGTTTCGTGAACCGTCCAACTCCTACCGTTCTTGAAGTTCTTGGAAATTCCGGTGCCGGTTAATCCTTAAACTCATCGGAAGTTTCCTGAACTAGTCAGACGAACCGTAAACTAGTCGGAAGATTCTTGAGCTAGTCAGAAGTTTGGTGAAATAATTGAAAGACCTTTTAACCATTTTGGAAGTTCCGTGAACTTATCGAATGATCCGTGAGCATGTCGGAAGATATACTAAAATTTCGGAAGTTCCGAGAGCTTGTCGGAAGTTCTATGAATAGTTTCGTTTCGAAATTTCGCGTACTTGTCTGAAGTTCTACGAGTTAGTCGGAAGATCCCAAGGGGTGGTCACTCTACACACTTATTTTGCGTCAACATTTTTCTCAGTGTGCCTCAGTATGCCGCAGCTGCGCCGGAAGTGTCAAGAAGTCATTGAACTTATTTTTGTTTGCTAATGAATAATGCCTTATTTGGCAACCCGGTATTTTAACAGCTCTTGTTTTTGTTTTGTTTTTCAATGTTTACAAAAACGACATGGACTCCAGTTGGGACTACACATTGGACGCAGCCGTCTCCAAGGATGTCTGCAACGAACGAGCTCCGTTGCTACACGATCCTACCATCTTCGGCGGAAGGCCGACCCCGTACAACGAACTTCAATTATTAGTCAACCAGCCCTTCTGGGAGCCAGCGGAGGAAACGGATTTGCACCGAATTTTTCACCGCCCGAGTATCATCCGTCGGAAAATTGGAAACCAACACCGGCCGGAACACACGTCGGACTGATGAAGGACGCTCCGCTGACCCTAAACGGACCAGCCAACTTCATTCAACCGGCACTGCAACAGGGCGCAGTGATGATGGTCTACGGAATCGATAACAACACAGTCAACACCGATAAGCTGTTCAATCTGTTCTGCCTGTACGGAAATATGGTCAGGATAAAGTTCCTGAAGACCAAGAGGGTACCACCATGGTCCAGATGGGAAACGCCATCGCAGTCGAACCAGTCGAACGCAGCATCCAGCCCGTACACCCTGCCGGACAATTCGATCAGCTTCAAGGACTACACCGCCTCCAAGAACAATCGTTTCCTTTCGTTGACCCAGGCCAGCAAAAATCGCATTCTCCACTTCTTCAATACCCTACCCGTATGCCGTTCGAGGATCTGCTAATGACTGCATTCACCACCAAGGACTGCCACCCGTCGCAAGTGCGAATGTTCCCGCTGAAATCGGAAAGTTCCTCCTCCGGATTGGTTGAGTTCCCGAGCGTAGCCCTGGCGGTGAACGCCATCATGAAGTGCAACCACAGCGCGATGGCCGGAATCCTCGGTCAGGTCAAGATACCACTGTCAGCTGTTCTTCGTCTGGGAGGAAATGTGGACGTGACTGCCATCACGGGTGTAACGATATTGAGAATCCATAAAAAATTTTGACACATACACACTGCGCAGGCGCAGAAAAAGTTCAGTGTTGCCACTAAAGATCAGAAAAATTGTAACCATAGGTGCCAAACAGTGCCAATGACTGTGCCCATGTGTGCCCAAGCTTGTTTTTGGCACACTGTGCGGAGTGACCATCCCCTTGGAAGATCCTTATCTTACCAGAAGATCCATGAACTAGTCGGAAGTTCCGTGAACTAGTCAGACGTTCCATGAAGTTCTATGAACCTCTCGGAAGTCTGAAGAAACTTCTCGGAAGTCCGAAGCTACCTCTAAACGTCTCTGAAACTCTCTCGAACCTTGTCAGAAGTTATCGGAAAACTTGTCTGAAGTTCCCTCGGAAGTTTACTGAAGTTTCCTTTGAACTTTCTGCCCATGAAGTTTCCCAGAAGTTCCAGCGGAATTTCTCAAAAGCTCCCTTAAAGCAACCAGAAGTTCTCTAGTAACTGTCCAAAAGTTTATTCCAAACAAACTTCAGGGAAGCTCTAAGGAAACATGAGAAAGCTCCTGCAATGTTGTTCAATGTTTTCTGAACTTCCTTTGGATTTTTTTTATGACTATAATTTTTTCATAAGTGCACTTGGAATTTCCATAAAGCTCCCTCAGAATTTCCCTGAAGTTACTTCAGAAGTCCCGTGAAGTTCCCTCAAAACCTCTCTAAAGTTCCCACTGAATTTCTCTGAAGTTCTATAAGAACTTCCCTGGAATTCCTTAAGAACTTCTCTAAAGTTCACTTGGAACTTCCCCAAAGCTCCCTTGGAACACCCTTGACGAAATCCTCCTAAAGTGTTCCAAGAACTCGCTGTGAAGTAACCTTAAAATCTAGGGGTGCTACACCTCTAAATCTTTATTTTAGATCGTCGCAAAATCTCATCATCTCAAATCAGTCCACTAAAAAAATTTTGCATTTAAATCCATCTACTTGCATCGCTCTCCCCCTTTCGGCAGCCAATCTTCCAAATGTTCTACAATATTCGTTCTATCTACTGAGTGTGCGTGCATCTCATAAGAGCAAAACAATTTTTCCGGAATCTTAGGTAGAGTGATTCCCCTTGGCCAGAGCTCCCTTTAAGCTCGTCCGGAGCTCCACTGAAGAGCCCTTGGGACACTCCACAAGTTCCCAGAAGATCCCGCCAACCGCCCATAAGTTCCCCTGGAGCACCTCCCTCGGAACTATCCTGGTGGTTCCCACTTAAATCCTGAACCGATGACCGATTCAGGTTGTTCCCAGTTCTAACCAGTGAATCACGCCTGCCAGAGATGCCCGGCAAACCTGCGTAGTCGCGGACAGAGCCAGGCAGTGCTGCTCCACAAGCACACACAACCACTGACGACCGTCCCAAATCACTCCCGGCAATGTCGGGAGGCTTCCGGGACATGGCTTCTTTTTCTTCTTCTTTCCTTTATTTAACGTCGGTCTCTGTTCCGCAATTTAGTGCCAATCACCGACGGACATCGATTGCCATCCATTGACGGCAATCGAATGTGAAGGATGGCAGCTTCCACATCTGCGTAGGATATCGCACCCATTCATCAACACCAGAGTTGAAAAAATCATGAAAAAATCACCAGCATTCACTATGAAATGATTTTTTCATCCATAGTGAACTTTGATGAATTTTAGTGATTTTTTCAGCCCTGATCAACACACATGGGCCGGGACCAACGGCTTTACTTCCCTTCCGAAGGAAGACGTGACAAGACCACCGTCCACGACTGGGATTGAGGCCACTACACCACCGGCGCCGGCAAAGGACATGGCTCCATCAAACTCGGTAAGCTCGCAAAATGCAACGACACAGCAACCGTCACCAGCCGCCTCCACAGGTGCCATCAAGACGACCCCCCGGTCAACAGACAACCGCGAACGAATCACCCTCAACCGGCTTCCTCCTGCAGAAAGGAAGCACTCCACAAGGATCCGGCAGTCTTCCACAGCCCCAGCACAATCCGGAAATCGGCCATTGGTTCCGCAAAAGAAACTGAAAAAAACGTCTCCTCAGAATTTGACAGTTCCTCATTACACACTAAATCCGAACACCTCATTAGTGATTGATTGACAACCCTGTCGTGAAATTTCCGATTTTCCAAACCGTTGAAAGTCGATAAACCTTCCGGAAAAAAAAGTCTGGCCCAAAGCGAAAGCGCGCCCAGCGCCCATAAAACACAATTCTTCCATTTATTTCATCACCTTCCGTGTTTTGAATTACACCATTTTGCCCCGACACACGTTTCGATTCAGCCATATTTCCGCAATATACCAAACCTTCCTTCCGCTTTTACTTTACGACCGACCCGAACCGAACCGAACCGAACTCTTCAAGCGTCAGACTCGAGAGACTCGATGGTTATTATTATTACCTCTGCTACATCCTAAAATACAGGCCGGGTACAGCGGCCCAACCCGGCCCAACCCGGCCACTATTGGTTTTGTGGAGAGCCTCCGCAAAAGCGCGTTATCGTTGGCAATAAAAAAAAGGAGACAAGACGAAGCAAAGGAAAACTTTTCCCATTTACCTCCGGAGAACGAAAACGAACCCGGCCGGCGGCCTGCTGCTGCTCGATGGTGGGAAATGGGAATGCAAAAGAACTGGTCAGTGTACGACCTAACTTGGAAAAAGAGATGAATTTCGCCGGAGAGGAAGAAAGGACTCCAGCGGAATCGAAATGTATAATTTATTTAATAGCACCGACGACCGCCGCCGGGGTCTCTACAAGTCCGTCCGGTTCGACCCGTGGGAAGCCAGTCGAGAGCCCTGCTGCTACTGCGGACCGGAATCACTTTATCACCTTGATTTTCTTTTTCTTGTGTACCTCGTTTCGTTTTCCGGGATTTTCTCATTTCTTTCATTAGCTACTACGATGACCACCGACCGTGAGCGAGTGAGTTCGAAAGCTCTTGGGTTTTCCGTCTTCGAATAATGGGCACCGCCTGCTGTGATCGGTCTGCGGATGGATTTCGCTCTTCCCCCACTGCGAACCCAGTTCACGTTTTTCTTTATCGATTTCCCTGAAGGAGGAAATAAA